AGCATTAACCGTTTCCTCAGGATAAAGCATCACTTTACACTATCAAGGGATATGCTATTTAATAACCAGTTTTAATTAGGCAAGAGATTAATCAAGGTTCATTTTTGAGGCATTCTCAAAAGACACATGGAGATTATTTTTGGTTATTATTTTACTGAAGTGTGTACCATGGCCCATTGTTAATGAGAGCAAATATGAGCAGAGTAGTCGCCCGCTTTCTTGTCAAATTTTGCATTAAAACATTGTACTCAGAACTGAATGAATGCCAACAGGCCTGGGAAGACAGAACCACTCTAAATTCAGATCTAATCTTGGCTCCACTATAGCCCAGCTAGGTATTAGCGGGAAGTTGAAGGAAGGATTGCATGAAAATCCTAGCAGATGTTCTTACGTTTCTGGATATCTTATCACATGTAGGTCAAATAAAAAGGATGCCTAACAAAGTAAAATACTACATATATATTTATATTTTTTAAATGAGAATCACTTATGCTCAACAAATAGCACTTTTAATTATATCTCTCTTTCAGATTTGTATAATGCTTAAGTCATGTTTATTTGTTGTTGCTGTTGTTCGTTTTTGTTTTAATTTGAGTTCAGAAAGTTGGGTTTCTATTCAATATGTAGATGTTTATTTAGCAACACCAGCGTTCCTCACCAACATTCTCCATCTCCTTATCTTTCTTGTCTCAGTAAATGGTAGTCATTCATCATGCAATCTTTCAAGATGTGATTTTCCCCCTGTCTTACATGTGTATATATATATATGTATATATATACACACACACACACACACACACACACACACACACACACACACACACACACACACACAAAGTGAATTTCTAAATTCTGTCGATTCCTCCTCCTCATCACTACTGGCACTCACTCCTTGGAACAGGAGCACCAGTATAACAAACTCTTAAATTTCTTATCTGAATCAATGTAACAAATTTCCAGTCTCATTTTAAAGTCTCTTTTCCATTCTTCCAATGTGTCAGTCCTTACTTAAATTCAACTTAATTTTGCCCTCACTACTGTCATAAAAAATTCCAAACTCCTCATAATATAATATCATGCTGATATCATCCAGATCAGATCCTTGAACTTCTCCAGATCATTTCAGATCGATGTCTGGAATTATTCTTGGGAGATCTATGATGCCAATAATCCTGAACTACACCCTTGTGCTGCTGTTTCCTCTACTTATAATAGTATCTTTCTTCTTCCAACAAAAGTTTAGATGACACTTTTTATTTTCAGGGGCCCCTTCTCTGACATACTGAAACTAAGTAGATAAGTCCCCTACATGCTCCATGGGACTCTTGTGCTAACCCCTGTAATAGGAATTTCTAGCATTGCCTCTACTACACAATTGTTACTGTGTGGGCCCTAGGCCATGGGATGGCTGATGACATAAGTAATTAGAAAAGGGATATTGTCCTATCCCAATGGGGATTAGATTCCCTTTCTTAGAAATCTGAAGAAGGCAAGTGCTGGTTGGTAGCTGGTATTGTGGCTAAGAGTAGTGGGTGTGCAATTCAGCTTGCTGGGCACTTAACAGTGATAATAAGCGAAGAAAGTTGTGGGAAATGTTGATAAAAACAGAAGAAGAGTCCTTAGACTACCATAAGAAATATGTATTCTAAAATATGATTCCTGGGCACTGCCAAGGAAGGCAGGGAGTGAAGCAGCACAAGCAGGGGACCACATGACAGTACCGGGTCCCAAACCAGAGGAAATGAGGGTCAGTTGGAGGCCCAAACTTCACCTGCATGCAGCCTGTATAGTTAATCCTTACTTGTACCTCACATTTCTCTAATAAAATAAAATTTTAAAAAAAGGAAAATATTCCTGCATTAATACTCCCCCCAACACATACACACACGTATGTGCTTGTGTTTATAACCATTTTTACAACTAAGGCTATTATTTGTTTGGATACAGGTGGACGGTGTACTTGAGTCAGTGCTTACCACATTGTACTCTCTTTTTGTCTATTCCAGTAGACTCACTAAGAGATTAAAGTCCGTGAGTTCTCCATCTTTGTCTTTCTGGTATTAGTGCAGTACCCAGCAAGCATTTGAACTCAATCCAATGTTGCTTAAAAAGTAAACGAGTTGAAGAATAAATGAAGGAACCCGTAGTATGAATAATGCAGACTAATTCTAAAGGCTGACTTTTGTTCAAAAGAATTATTTAAAATGGAATTTCCTCCGTGCTTATGATTATGCTAGAAGCATAGATTATGTTATTCATAAATATTAAAGCCCTAGAATGAAGGAGAAAAGTTATGGTAGAGTTTGATGTGATTCTCCAAAAGCACTGATTGAATATAGAAGCTTCTTGTAAAAGCATTTTGGCTCTTGCAAAAGATGAGCTTTAAAATGAGCCCAGAACAGAGATTTTAATACTTTTTTTTCCCTTTTGTCAAGGCTGAGATGCTTTAGCTGTTTTCCAAGAGAAAACTTATATGAACCTGGCACATTGCATGCTTGCAGGAGGGTTATTTGTAGATCTTCTCAATGAACCTTTTATGTATCTGCATGGAGATCACAAATAAAATGACGAAAATGCTGATTCAAAAACACATTAACATTCTTTTAGTTTCTAGGGAAAGTCTTGATATCTAGTCATTAACCGGGCAATCTGCCCTCAGAATTCCTTCTGCCTTAACATGCTAAAAAGAAACTGTCTTAGAAGAACTATTTTTAAAAATTCTCTATGCTTTACTGCTGTACTGTAAAGTTCTAATTTCTGTGAATCTATTCGTTAACTCTTAAGTGCTGTTAGCTACCCAGAGTCAAATGAATTCTAAGGGAAAAAGAAAAACAAAGTTTAATTTCAAGTCAGTGAAAGACATTTTGCTACATTCCTGTTTTGGCAGTTTTTGTTGGATGTGTACTTGCTTGTTTAGTTATTTATAGAATAAACAGAGGTTAACTTTTGTCAAAGTAATACCAATTTTATTTTAAAATGAAAGATTGCATTATCAACCTCTACCATTTATATTTATTTTTGAGCTTTGTATTCTTAAAGTATCTTGTTTCTCTAACAGACTTGTTTTTGTTTTGAGAAGGTGAAGGAGGGGAGAAAGGGAGGGAACTTGAGTTCACTGACATTTTCTTGTTTGAATTCCTCCATGTCTTTTCAATTTAAAGAGCTGAAGATAATGTGATATCTCTAATTTCAATTTCAATTTTAATGCCTGTCCTAGCACTCTAGCTGTATGTACTGTCTTCCATATTAGAAAGATTATGGCCCTGTAATACTTACTTATTCTTCTTTATACAGGGAGCACTCAAAGATGACCTTTAATTGCTCTCTGCTCCCCCCCATAAAATTACTTTTGCACAAAAGCGACTTTCAACAAGTATCTGCTCGTCATAATAGATTAACAGTATTCTGTCAGCTCCTGTTAAATCACATGGCATTTCCCTTAGTCTCCATTTAGGAGACCACATGAAATTTGCTTGTACCCTCATTTTTGTTTCTGTCCAAAATAGAACATAATTTTCCTGTCTGTGAATTTAGAAAAAAAGTATGATTTTGTCACATACATGACAATACTAAAAAGTTAATGACATAGAAAAGTCTTATTAAGATACAAAAAATGGGAAATATTTAAATTCAGCCAATTTCTTATAGTTCCATAGGGAAAGCTATTCTAATTGATATTCTGAATTTTTAGCAGAATACAGAATTGCAAGCAGGTGTGTGTGTATTTGTGTGTCTGCTTATATTAGTTGCTGATTTAAAAATATACAGGATCCAGTCACATAAAATAAAGTTCATTTCTGGATTTATTTTCTATTAGGACTAGAAATCTGATGAAATGGAATAAATTAAATGATATCAACTTTATATTATTGTTTTACAATATAAATCTTTAAGACAAACTTATAGTGAAAACTTCATGACTGGAGAAACATATTCTGGGAAAAATATAGCTGCATTTAATTTAGAGAATTTCAAGTTTGAAAAAGTAACAACACAAAGCAGAAGAAAAAAAAAGGGAAGTTCATAAACAGTGTTTAATATGTGTTGTCTTTAAATTTTCAGAACACACTGGAGTCCACTCTGCATGCTTCTGTGGAAGTGTATGCACTTACCCACAATTTTGCTGCCAGTTACCACCATGTTACCTCCCAAACACTTGAATCTGAATGGAAAGATTCTAGGTCACTGGTTGAATGATGTGACTGAGAAGACACAGTCACTGTCAGTGTAAAATTACACACATACTTAGTGATCTACATGGCTACAGTAATTGAAGAATTATGTTTAATGCTCACAGGTCTCTCAAATCTCAAATGGATTTATGATGCACCTCCCTTAGTTCCTGACTGAAACACAGCATTCCAATTTATTTACCAGACAATTCTTTAAAGGGGTTTAGAAGATACATTCCGCCTGTACAGTCATGCTTCATATTCTTTTGCCAATATTTCTTGTATTTCTGTCTCCTTCAACAAATTTTCGGGTGTGGGGGGTAACTGTATTTTGGGACAAGATTTGATATTATGGTTCCCCCAACCAAATGCTCCTCAGACACTTTCATGTTGTGGCATACAAAGGAAATTATACCTTTTAATCCTAATTCCTTCAAAATCTTGAAAGTTTCAAGATGATAATTTTTTTATTTTTTCAAACAAGCAGGCAATCAGGCATGTTAAAATTTTATAGCCATTCGAGTTTCACAATAGTTGAAATTGTCACTAAAAGATATTTTAAATGTTCTGTGATAATGCGAAAATATTCCAAACTCAATCAAAAGTTCTAAACCAAACATTTCAAAATAACGAGTCTCTGACGTAGAACAGGCATGCGTTGTTAAAGCAGCTGGCAAGGATATCACTAAGTGGTAACATCAACCACAGGAGAGTGGATGCAGATGGGAAGTTTATGAGAACACACATCTGGGACACTGCTTGGGGCTCAGCCTCCCAGGAGCCCCTGCCCAGCCACCCCCAACCCTCTCTCCCCACCGCTGGCCGCACCTTGGGCTGCAATCTGTGCTCCTTGGGCACTTGGACCGCGAACTCCTCTGGTAGCTCCACGGGGCCCTTGTCCACGATGAGCAGTGGCACGCTCTGCAGCTGGCTGCTGAAGGAGATGTCTGGGTGGAAGAGCGCCTCCTGGGCTGCGCTCCGCGTGTCGCAGTGGAGCAGCGGGGGCAGGATGTCGCTCACTGTGCTTGCCACCTGCGGGGACCGCAGGGCGCACCATCAGACCCCGCTCACCTTAGGGCAGCCTCAAGGGAGCTCTGCTAGAGGTTATTCCCAAGGCTGCCCTCTGCCGCAAGCCATAGGCCCAGGACTCCAGCCACCCCAGGCCCCACTCAGGCAACCCTGGAACTGAGGAGATCAGATCTCCTGGACCCTCGTGGGATACTATCCTAGTTCAATGCTATCTTAATTAAGCTAAAAATCTCATAAACCTTATCTTAATCCCTAATAATGATTAGAAAAGTAGACACGATTATTGGAAACAGAGTAAGCTACCTGGAAAAATATAAATACTCTTTTTATTCTTATAGTTTCACAGCATTTTGATGTAAATTATGGGCACTGCTATCTGTATAAATGTAAATAAGAATATTGGTTCCTGAACTTAATTTTAACACAAAAAAGCTTGACAAAGTAATAGGTGAAGAAAGTTCCAGAAGATTATTTTCTTGTTTCTTTATTGGTTTTGTTTTGTTTAATGTATGGTTACACGTATATGGATTGTTTTATGTTTACTTATATGTTTTCAGGTCATGTCACTAACATTTTTTGAAAGAGGCTGTATTAAGATCTGTGGTAGACATTAAGGTGAAAAGGATATACATACATTTTTGCCATTTATATACACAGTGATTTTACTGACAAATGGTACATATTACATAAATGAATAAATGTGGGAGACCAAGACAATAATGAAAAAAAAAGTATACACATGATTTTAAAAAATAATTCAGAGAGTAGTCATACATTATTTGCTATGAAAATAGAGATATTTAAGTACAGAATTTTTTTCTGATGAATTGATACTATGAGATACACATTTCCCTAATTGAAACTAGCTTAATAGTAGGAATGGTCATGAAAATGTACCTGAAAAAGTATAGATTTTTACAAAGAAAAAGATTTGTTTTACACAATACTTTTAAACATATTATAACATGCATGTTTAAAAACACATTAATAATGCTATATGACTAACATTTAACAGTCAGACAGAAAGTTAGAAAATCAATAATGCAAGAGAATTTTATGATGATCTTCCTAGCCCTGGAAGTTTATACAGTGCTACTATAATTTCTTGATATATAAAATATTTGCAAATTAAGAGTGAAAAACATATCCCTCCCAAATCACATGAAATAATACAGTCCTTATAGAACAAATCTTATTAATAAATCTAGTAAATAATAGCTTAATAAAAAAACCTTAGAGCTTAAGCATGAAACATTGTCCTGAAACTACATTTTTATTTCAATTCATTATAATATATGATTACTAAAATATGTAAGCAAAAGGTAATCTGAATGCCATTTTTATATCCTGTGTGAATGAAAAAGACGTCAAAGAAGGAAATAAGTTTACTTACAGATTTTTGAAATAAAAAATCTGTATGTAATTGCCTTCTTTGATGTTCCACTCTAGTGTCATCTTTTTAATCTTTTAACTTATCCCTCTTCTCACTGCCTGAAATCATGCGACTAATTATAAAAAAGTTTTACATGAATACTTGCAGCTATGCTTTCTCTAACATCTTTATCACTATTCTAAAGAAGGAAATTAGCAAATTATCAAGATATATTATCATATATGCTTCAGTTATAATAAAATTGAAAGAGTTTATCCACAACCAAATTAACATACAAGCACATTTGGAGTGATGAAGCATGTACTTTTTGTTCATCCATTCAACAAATATTTATGGAGTTCTCATAATGTATCAAGGCTTCTTTTAGGTGCTGGAGAATTTGGTGAACAAGATAGACCATGTTCTTACTTTAGCAAGCTATACACTGGGAAAAGTAAATATGAATATAGAATATACAAATAGATAGATAAATAATAAATTTAAAAGACCATATGGATATAAGTAGTCTACAGAAAACTTAAATAAAGGCTATTTTATTCATTTTTTAAAAGAAGACATAGATATAGAGGAAAAATATAAAATGAGATTCCAGTGAGATCCAAAGCTGCTAGTCATTCAAACTTCTGGAGCAAAGAACATTCCAAGCTACTACAAGGGTCTCCAGGGAAGAACCACATTGGTCTGTTCAAGAAGTAGCATGGTGGCTAGGTATACCTATAGTGGTCAGGGAGAAGAATAGTCTAGGAGGAGGTCATAGACATAAGCAACACCCAGATCATGAGCTTTGTAAACCAGGGTAAAGAGTTCAGTTTTGGAATAATTAATCATCTGTTTAGGATAATTAATAGAACTCTTGGGTAGAAAAAGTAGCATAGGACAAGAAAAGACATGGGAATAATGATCTCTTCTGAAGTAAAGATCAGTTATTTCCAGGAAAAGTCACTTTCTAGAGGAGGCAGAAAATTACAAATAATTTTAAAATGCATATACAATGGAATCAAGCATCAGTTAAAAAAATATAATAATGCCTGAATCTAAATGAAATAATTTCAGCATAAACAAAAAATACAAACATGGTTTAGCTAGAATTAGAAAGCAAACTCTTGGGGATCTAAGAAGAGTAGATTTGGGTTGAAAAATAAAATGAAAACACAGAGACAAGAATACAAAATACCAGGAGATTAAGTAGACTTTGACTCTTAAATGGAAGAAAATTAAGACTCTGATGTGTTCTGTAAAAATTGAGTAGAGTATCTTAGGTATCTATAATTCATACTTTCATTTAAATTCACCATATCTATAAAAGGAATCCAGGGTCACCAACAAGTGGCAGCAAAGCTGCAGAGGATGTTATGCTACCCACAGGAAGCAGGACTATTACAACAGGGTCAAAGTCTTAACTTTAGTTCTAAAAAATTATGTGTATATTACAGTTAAAATATTGTATGACTTTTGGGGAAGTATTTATTTAAATTATAAATATAAATACAATTTGTCTTCCTGAAGCTATTATACAAATAAGTATTCAAGATAAACATCTGAGTTATAAGTCTCATATTCCATTAGCAGCATGGAATCTTAAGTCTGAAAGATTTCTTTAACTCACGTGGTAGATAATAACCCTCAGGGTATCCCTGCTAAAATTTCCCAAAAAGCTTTATGGGAAGAGGCCTTGTTCAGAAACTCACTCTGTCTTTGAGGCATGACTGCATTTAAAGCCGCAAATTCCTCAAGCCAAGGAAGGTGAAATCTATGCCCTGGGATTATCCACCCACTTGTTAAAATTCTATACATGGGCTACAAAAACAAATCAAGTTCCTCCTCAAAAGTACTTCTCTTTAGACATTTGAAGACAGCGTTCACATCCTAAATGTCTCTTTTCTTCTCCAGACCTTTAAGGATAAATAATTCTTTCAATTTAATGATGAAAAAGCACAGAATATCATGGCATTAACTGTAATTTGGAGACACGCCCCCATACTCCTCTTTTATTTCCACTTGGGACCACAGTTTTTAACTCTGTTCTAAGCAATTTTTAGGATATCTCAAAGTCAAGAAAGTAGTCTTTCTTTCTAACATTTTTCAGAGAAAGAGAAACTTTATTCTTGTCTCTTTTAAAAATTGCATTTCTGATTAAGACTTCCTTGGACTCAAAGAAATCAAGGATGACACAAACAATTGGAGAAATATTTCATGCGGAAGGATTGGAAGAATCAATATTGTTGAGATGTCCATCCTATCCAAGGCTATCTACAGATTCAGTGTAATGCCCATCAATTACCAACATCATTGTTATCCAACTTGGAAACAACAATACAGAAATTCATATGAAAACAGAAGGAAGCACGAATCACTAAAACATTTCTCTGCAAAAGGAACAAAGTAGAAGTGTCACATTTCCAGATATTAAACTTTATTACAAGGCTACAGTAACCAAAACAGCTTGGTATTGGTAAAGGAACAGGCACACAGACTAATGGAATAAGACAGAGATTCTGGAAGCAAAACTCATCATCCACAAAACAACCAATAACAATCACTGGGGAAAGGAGACCATATTTAGCACATAATGCTGAGAAAACTGGCTGACCACATGTAGAAGAATGAACCTGGACCCCTACCTATCACCACACACAAAAATAAACTCTAAATAGATCAAAGTCCTTAACATAAAACCTCAAACTATAAGAATTCCAGAAGAAAACCTAGGGAACACCCTTATGCACATCAGAGTAGACAACAAATTCTTCAGCAAGTCTTCAAAAGTAAATGCCATAAAAGCTAAGATAGATAAGTGAGACCTCATCAAACTGAAAAGTTTTTGCACAGCAAAAAAACCATCAAGAGAGTAAAGAGACATCCTGCATAATGGGAAAAAAATATTTGCAAATTATGTATCTGACAAAGGACTAACATCCAGGATCTATAGGAAACTCAAACAAAGTGAAAGGAAAAAAAATGAAAAACCCCATTAAAAAGTGGGCAAAGGACATGAACAGACACTTCTCAAAAGATGTCATACAAGTAGTCGACAGACTCGTGAAAAAATGCTCATCTTCACTAATCATCAGAGAAATGCAAATTAAAGCTACAGTGAGATAGCACTTAACCCCAGTAAGAATAGCTATCATTATTAAGTCAAAAAACAACAGATGCTGACATGGGTGTGGAGAAAAGTTTAGGAGTGCAAGCTAGTTCAGCCTCTATGGAAAGTAGGGTGGAGATTCCTAAAATAAATAAAATTGACCCTCCCTACAGTCCAGCAATCCCTCTTCTGCGAATACACCAGGAGGAACACAAATCCCTATACCAAAAAGACACCTTTACACAGATGTTTATTACAGCACTATTCACAATACTGAAAACATGGAACCAACCCTATTGTCCTGAAAGTGGACTGGATAGACAAAATGCGGTACACATATTAATACACGATGGAGTAGTACACAGCCATAAAGAACAAAATCACGGACTCTACGGCAAATTGGATGGAGATGAAGTTGTAGACCATCATACTAAGTGATCACAGAAACAAATAACTGAATACCTCATGTTCTCATTCATAAGTGGGCCCTGAACATTAGTCACACTAGCACAAGAGAGTTGCTGG